TGTGCCTCGGCTACGCCTCGGTCCACATTTGCACGTTCGTCCATCAATGCCTCAGTTGCTGGCCGCTGCAGTAATGTATTAATAAGGGATACTATCACGTTCCAAACACCGAAATAATTACTTTTAAAATTCTTTACATAAGTGTAAGTAATATTAATTTATTAAGATGGAACTAAATATGGAATTATGAAGGATCCCTTTTATGGCAGAAGCCTATATCCAGCAGTGGGCAATAAACGGCTGATATTATAATAAAGACTAAATATGGAACATATTCACTTCCATTCCACATTCTACAATTATATACAGAGATGAATTTCAACATCGAAATTGACAGATGCATTTGTCCGTCTGTCCGCATCGGTATGTTAGAGAGGCCGAAAATGATAGTCCTTAATGTATCCATTCACTAAATGTAGAGCGCCCGCCATTGTCACTTTTTGCTCGCGTGTTTGATAAATGATAGACTTCTAAATCTTACTTATTTGCACTGCAATTTGAAACCTCTTATATTATATATATATATATATATATATATATATATATATATATATATATATATATATATATATATATATATATATTTGTACTTCTATGAAATATATTAGTTTTATATTTATGTACTATATATATTAGTTCATAATTAATTTGACTATGTATTAATTTTAATTAGGCTGTCATAAAATTATATAATAAGACATAGTAACAACAACTCTATTCCCATTACATAATTTACTAGCTATTTACCTAGTTTTTTCAACTATCTTAAAAAAATGAGAATTTTCTCAATTCTGGATTTTTTATAAAAACTCGTACCGTTTTTGATGATTCTTCTTTCAGTATATAAAATTTATTGCTATTGGTATCGTCCTTATTTGGCGTCATTGAAATAATTTAAAAATAATTATCTAAAAATTATTAAAGTCATTATTACACGCCAGCTAAATGCATGTGAGTCATTTTGAGATAACCGCTGTAAAAGTATGCAAGCAAATATATATAATATATAATAAAATTCATGTAATAGGTATTTTTCTTTGTAATAATTATAGTATTAATGTTCTACAATAAATAATAAAAATATATTTTTTTATGAATAACGTACCTTCATTGGACTGTCAACTTAGAGGTACACATTGTAGATAGCTATTAGATTTACCTGTAACAAAAAAAAAAAGAAACAAACATTAATATACAGTTTTCAAGTGAGACTGGTCTCATCAGAAATTAATTTCATTTAGACAGAAAATATTTCTTACATGTATATTACCAGAGGAAGACTTCATTCCTGTTTTTCTTGTGAAGCTGTTTTGTTTCGGGTTTGAATAGTGAAATATGGCAGTGAAATTACAGGGTACAGAGGCATAATACCTTAGTCTGGGGGAAAGGGATTGTTAGTAATGGAGACTGAGAATCCCATTGCTAGCAATATACCCAACCAGGTCGACCTCCTCGCGGTTCTCCCTGGAAACTATCATGGTTAATTCATGATGAATTCATCATAATGGGCTAACTGGCCTGTTTTCCTTTTCATCTATCACCCTTCACTGGTTCTCCGCCAGCGTATCCTGTTAGCGCAGGCGGGGTTACTATAACATTTTCACCTATCAAAAATCAAAAAAATCAAAATACCTTAGTCTTTATGCAACGGTTACCATTTTCCATCGGGTGTGTCAGCTTGTTTACCATTCTAAGCTGTATAAAAAAAATTAATTAAATCGTACACCGATTTATTTTTGATTTTTATATTATACAATTTTATAATAAATTAAATACACTATTATTTAGAGTTCAGAGTGTACAAAGGCGGACCATTTGATAATACTGTAGTAAACCAACATCGCCCTTGCGCGTGAGTGCGTGAAATAACATAATGGGTAATTGTCTTACAAACTGGGACACGTTAATTCTAATTGAAGGGCAAACTAGGGTTTTAAATAAATAATAAAAACGTGGCAAGTGTGAGTGGAATTGGCGATTTAAAGGTTCTGTACTTTTTAATAATTTCCTTCTTTTATCCTTTCTTATCCTATCTATTTTATTTTATAATGCTATCTATTTGTGTATTTTCACGCCATGCCCTTGCGAGGTAGGCAGAGATGCTAAGGAATTCAGTTAGTTTTAGTTTTTTTTTAATGTAAAAATTAAAATTATTATACACTAGGTATTTCCTGCGGCTTTGGCAGAGTATATTCGACCTGAAAGAGTATATTGCTAATAAAGGAACAGCTAGACCCCATCATTAACAATCCCTTTCCCCCCCTAGGATAGCAATTAGGTATTCATTGTTACATTTAGAAACAAACGCTTTAAAAAAATCATATAAATAAAAAGTTTTTTTTTTTTATATGACACAGATTCATTTTTTAATATTTTTTCTTTTCCCCTCAACCCAAAGGTTATCTGTAAGAGATTGCTTTAGCGATAAGACTGCCTTTTGTACTTCATAAGTGTAATATAAATTTATCATTGTATTATTCTATTTAAGTTGAAATAAAGAGTGAATAAATAAATAAATCCTAAAACGGCATCGTTAAATTAAATTAATAAATAAATAAATAAATACAAGTATCTATTAATCAGTGAGCATACTTCCTTGAAATGTAGGCCGAATTTTGCAATATCACAATGATTCCGACTCACATTATCTCTCAGTTGCACCTACATGTTACATAGTTTGGTGCGAGACACAAGCGGTGAGCGAGCACAGTCTATTTTTAAGTATAATTAAATTCAAATTAATTAAAGTCAAACGCACTATCTAATGTATTTAAATTATTTAATCATGGGAAAACTAGTTAATTTGGATAAAATCAAACTACTGGATAGATTGTGCTGAAATTTCTATAGAATCAATCAGAAAACTAATTTTTCAAATAAAAACAGTAATTTCAAATCGGTTTTTAAATAACGGAGTTTGAGGTATTATATATAAAAATATAGCCAAATAGAGAATTTGATACTTTTTTAAGTCGGTAGAAAATAAATAATTTTTTTTATACAACTTAGAATGGCAAACAAGCTGATGGCCCACCTGATGGAAAGTGGTAACTGTCGCCTATAGATATGAGCAGTACCATGGACATAACAGAGTATACTGTTTCGCCCATGATACCCCCCATGCGTTGCCATTCCTGAGGACTCAGGTGTTATTCCTCTGTATCTAGTAAATTCACGCCATATCCCATCCTTCAAACCGAAACACAGCCATGCAAACACAACTGCTTCACGGTTGAAACACGAAAGGGACAGAGGTACCCAAGCAATCGACTTTTTTACAAAGTCTTCCTTTTGGTAAATTCTAATCATAAAGTGGAAAATTGATTAAATAAAAGATAAAACAAAAGTATGGCGAAAGATAAAGTGGTTTTGCTTTTTCTGGAAGCTACATATATTATATATGTAGTCGTATGTATAAAAAATAATTATATTTACTGAATTATTCAAATTTTCAAGTTTATATATCAACTATTTAAAAGTAATGTCATCGCTTTCCAATTCGGTAGGCACATAAAGCCAAGATCCGGTAAACTATGTCAGACTCCTTCATATATCAATCAATCAGGGCATCATATCCTCTGGTGGAAGGTTGATCTGGGCCTCGAGGAGAATCCTTTTACCCTAGCTTCAACTCCAGGGTTAACCACCCCCAGGTCTCTAGAACCTTCTCTATATAATAAAACTATTCAGGAAACACGACACCAGAGGGCGCTACTCCTACATATGTAATAGTTTTATTACAACATTCAGCAACAACGCTACCGATTGTCGCTTATACCAAGACCATCCTATGAACTGTATGTCTGTCCGTTTTGCTCCACATACGCACATATAGTGTGGACATCTGCGTGACATTACAAAAGTGCGTTTTTTTCACTCATACCAAAGTGGGCCATGAAGTAATATGCATGCCAAGTTATTGCATAGCATATTTCGGTTGAATATTTTGTTATTGTCATTCTTTTAATCATTATATTCGTAAGGAGTGTAGAGAAAACAGTGCTGTGCGGTCCCAGCATAGAATGGACCACCACTTCCTTTCCCGTGGGTGTCGTCAGAGGTGATTAAGGGAGCTTATGGTAGAGAGACGGGAAGCAGCTTATATATGTTAATTTATGTTTTATATGTTTATAGAAATACATACTCCTTAAATGTAAGCGTACGAAGTAATAAACAAAAAGCTAATAATATTATAAACTAGCGGCTCGTCCTTTATATGGTGACAAAAAAGTTAAAGAAATTAGACTAATCGCTATTAAGAAAATCGTGTAAAATGTTTATAAATTTCGAATAATTTGTATAAGAACATTTTTAACATTTATATTAGATACCCTTCACTGCTCGTTCACGTCATTCTAATTGAATGGATCGTAGCGTGATGAAAAGTATACGTAAGTAAGTGTATGAAAAGATTGATGAATGTGGAAGAAGCGAAAGAGGTTTGTTTGAATCGAAGCATTTAGCGTTCCATTGTTTCTGCCTACCCTAATGGGAGACAGGCGTGACAGATATGTATGTATGTAATGTAATGTAATAAAAATGTTAATAATAAAAAATATTTTCATTTAAATAAATTTGATTACGTAAAATAAGCATGTAAATATCTTTTTTTTTTTAATTTTGTCGCTGGAATAAAACGAAAGTCTGATTTATTCTACATAATTAAAATATTATGTGTATATTCATATTTTTTTTTATTTGTAATTTAATTAAATAGTCCGTCACAATGACAGTATTATACACTGTTATTTAATTAACACTTAATTATCCAAAAATTTAAAAAATTAGTATAAAATATTTTTTTTCAAAATTAATAAAATTTCATGGCGTGTTTCCATGCATAAAACAACTGCACAAAGTGCATTAATTAGAACAATTATTATTATTTTTCCTATAATTATGTTAATTGATTATTTTCCATCGTTATGGTTGTAAATATATTTTTTCATTTAATTAAAATATTAATTACTAGGATTTTATATAAAAAAGCAATGGTTTCTCAGTGGTTTTAAGTCAGTAAGCAAGTCGTTTGTATCATGAAACTGTTGTGGGTTATATTTGTGGCAGCGGCAACGGTGCTGAGTTTCTCTTCGGTGAACGCTCACGACTACATGCGTTTCATGAGCATGCGTAAGGCGTCTTTTAATGAAGAGTTTTTATAATAGATTCTTTTGTTTAAAATGTATCAAAAATTAGGTTTTAGTTCCCAAGATACAGGTCTGACCTAGTTTGGGAACTGATGGTGATGCAGACTTTTTTTTTAAATATAAATTGTAAAATTGCATTTTCATAGTTATAAAATACTGTTTTACATATTTGTAAATGTTCAAATCTTGTGTGTATGAAAATGTTCAACTGTGACCAACTTGAACTTGTTCTGCGGTCGGTCAATAGTCTGACTGCGTAGTGTGACTGTTTTTTTAATGAATGATAATGGAATGGTAACGCCAGCGACTTAACATGTTTAAAGAAATAGGCATGGCATTAAAATATATAATATGATAGAAAAATTTGACCAGCACACAGTGAAAGCAGGTCTGTTGATGGTTGTTTCGTGACAAATGCAACAAGTATTAGTCTTAATAGTTTCCAGAGGGGGACCTTTTGTATTTATTGAATATTATTATATATAACATATACCTATATATAAAACTAATACATTTCACAGAATCACAAAAGAAATATTGTTCAGTCCCATTCATGATCATTATATTTGTCAATTTTAATTTTAAACTAAATTTTATATATTTTTTTGTAACCTCATCCAACGTGAAGGTTAAAAAAATATGTTCAACTAATAGTATTTCCCATATTAAATATGTCATGAATTATAAGTTATTTTCCTTTGTAATATATTAATATTGTACTATTTCGCGTTGTTAAATAATAATTAAAGATCGTGTCCCACAAAAAAAGACTTCTACTTTACACTTGTGACAAATTTGACAAAAAAATTGATAAAAAAACTAACTAAAATCGATTATTTTGATAAAATCTGTAAATAAATCTTTTCGAATTAAAATACATACATACATTTTTTTTTGTCGACGGGAAATACTTCATGCAGACCCACATAGCTCAGAGGAGATATGTGGGTACTTCAAAACAGTACTATTATCGACTAAAACTCCTTTCCATCAGTTCCTCGTCCACCTATCACCGGTTTATTTATACCTGATAGAGATATGAGGTAACAAACATCAAAAATACAAACGAATTGAGAATCTGCTTGTTTTTGAAGTCAGTAAATAAAACCAGTTACCCAATTATGAAGTAATTTGAAAAAGATATCTCTGTAGTGTCATATTAAAAGATTATTTATTTATTTAGATTCAAACGCAGAAGTAATGCCGATGGATGACATGGAATCTTCCCAGATGGAAGTGGATGATGAACGTTAGTATCATTTATATAACAGCCACAAGTAAGCATACGGCCTGAGAAATGGATATGAGAAAAAGATACATGACTATTATTTAATTATTTAATTGCTGTTAACATATATATATATATATCACTTATCATGTATTTTTTTTCCCTTCACTGTTTCGTAAAAATCCGTCGAATAATTTTATCATGTTTTTAAAATCCGTTTTTTTGTTTCTATGACGAAAATACAGAAAGACAGACAAAAATTTTACTGATTACATTTTTGACATCAGTATCGATCACTAATCACCCCCTGATAGTTATTTTGGAAATATATTTCATGTACAGAATTGACCTCTCTACAGATTTATTATAAGTATAGATTTATTAATTAATTAATTGTCATTACAGCTGGAGATATGATGACTGGTATGAGAGGAATCTATCAGCCTAACATAGAATGGATTATGTGAACAACGGTACATAAATGGTAAATATAATTTTTATGGGATGTGATATTTTTTTTAAAGTTTTCTAAGTTGTTTTTTTACACTTTATGAAGAAGTCGTCGTGTGGTCTAGGCATAGAATAGGCCATCCCTTCCTTTCCCGTGGATGCCGTAAAAGTCGACTAAGGGACGGTGAGGGATGGGCAGTTGTGTCCCCCTTAAAACATATCGAAAGCTTGCGGTTGCCAATCTGCCTGCCAAGTGTGGCAACTACTAGCAAAACCCCCCAAGAGGGAGGCTTATGTTCATCAGTGGACGGTTAAGAGGTGATGATGATGATGATGAAGAACTAGATGTTTACTGGGGCCCAACTAGCGTGAAACCTTACCACTCGCTGTTTGGCTCATTAGAATTATCTTGTCTAATTCCGCTACCATTAGTATGCGTGCCACTGTCAACACTTGATGATTGATCACTGTTATTAATGTTAGTGGTAGGCTCTACAACCTTCTATATTAGTAATTTTTTTTTTGGTGGTTCATCCATGATACCTTAAAAATGACCCTAATATGGCATGGCCGTAGCCGGAGTGGGGGGAGGGGCATTGAAGGGCAATGCAATACTTTAAAAGGCTTAATGCCCTATCTTAAAATGAAAGGCCCCAATAAAATTGAATAGATTCGCTTTTTCGAAGTCACATGACTTCTGCCGTACTAAAACAGTTTTTTTGCCCTACCTTAAACCTGGGTTTAGCTACGGCCCTGTATACATGTTACAGTTACACTGATAAAGCACTCACAACATGAACTTAATTTCATTATTAATATTAATTATCTTCTTGTTTCAGCTGACAACTGTTTCCACTATGACAACTCAACGTTATTTTTAGAACTATTCCAATTTCATACATAAACATAATAAATAAGGAATATATTAAAATACTTGTGTGAAAATAAATATATCTTAACTAAATTTTCAGCTGTTATTATTTATCTAATTATTATTTATTTATTTGTTTTCGTTTATTCACTTATAATACAGATAATAATAATGAATGTGGAAGAAGCGAAAGAGGTTTGTTTGAATCGAAGCATTTGGCGTTCCATTGTTTCTGCCTACCCTAATGGGAGACGGGCGTGACAGATATGTATGTATGTATGTATAATAATAATAATTTGTAACAAAAATGTAATGTAATGTCAACTTTGAGAACCCGTAAGGAGAAAGTGTTAAGTTTTGTTTTTTTTTATACCACTGAGGTGGCAATCAAGCATGCGGCCCACCTGATGGTAAGCGGTTACCGTAGTCTATGAACGCCTGCAATGTCAGAGGTATTAGGCGCGCGTTGCCGAATCTGAAGAACCCCCCCCCCCCCCTTGAATCTCATACTGTAGTCTCCTGGGAAAATCTCGGCAGGGAGCTCAGTTCATAACCTGAGTGTTCATGGAAGGAAACATCTATGAAACCGCGCTGTACCTGACCATTTAGACTGTATTACGAGAGTAAACTCTCTGTCGATGGTGAGCTGTACGATAGTGGAGAGTGGACATGGACATATAAAGCATAACATATATAATGCAAAAATAATATGATAAATAATATATTAGTAACTATAACAGAGTATAAATAAATACAATTATAAATATATACATATAGATGCATATATACATATAGATGCATATATAAATATAAACAAACATATATTTAAATAACATTTATCTAGTCCAACCTTAAGTGTTATGGAAGCATAAAACTTAATTTTTTTTTTATGTTCTCTATAAAAAAAAAATAAACTTTGTCCACAAAGTTAGATCGTATTGCCAATTATAGAATAACAAAGTCAATTTAGCTTTAAAGTGCAAGATTTCCTTTTGCTTTATTTTGTATTTCTTAATCGATTCCAAAAAAGGAGGTTCACAATTCGGCTGTATTTGTTTTATATTTGTTACCTCATAACTCCGTCAGTTGTAAGCCGATATGGAAAATCCTTTACTAAAAGGATATACTTATTGATTGGTCGAAACTTTATCAAAATTAATTCAGTAGTTCAGTTTTTAAAACAAAATAATATCTTTTACTGTAATTGATATCGACTTTTTTCCTGTGAGACATACTCTTTAATTAATGTATTTAAATTTCTACTTAAGATATTTAAAAAGAGTATTATAAAAGTAGGTTATATTTTTTTTTATACAACTTAGAATGGCAAACAAGCTGACGGCCCACCTGTTGGAAAGTGGTAACCGTCGTCTATAGACATGAGCAGCACCATGGACATAACAGAGTACAATGTTCGTCCATGATACCCCCCATGCGTTGCCATTTCTAAGGACTCAGGTGTTATTCCTCTGTACCCTGAATTTACGTCATATCCCACCCTTTAAACCGAAACACAGCCATGCAAACACAACCGCTTCACGGTAGAAACACGAATGGTACAGAGGTATCCAAGCAATCGACTTTTGTACAAAGTGTCCCTCTAGTAAAATATATGTATATGAAACGCAGTTTAATATTTAACTATAAATTTAATCAGTTTCGCATTAACGAGGCATTATCAAAGGTATAAATTCTTAAGTTTTAGATCGTCGTACACAATAAGGTCACGTCGTTATATGTAATTTATATCTTAATATAAAAATCCTGTGTCACGACATTCGTTCACGTTGACCTCTGTAATTGCTCAACCGATTTTAATGAAATTTTAGTAATATGTCCTCAACATCGTTTCAGCTATTATTTGTCCACTTCTGAACATAGCCCTCCCTCATAGACTGCCATAAGGATCACTCCTGAGTTATCTGTATCCACTATCTTATCTTATATTCGCATATGGGACCAGCTAAGCATGTCGACCCATCGGGACATCAACATGCCTTATACCATCATCAAGAACTTTTTATTAACGATATTTTAAGATATCAATCAACAAAGCAGTACATTTACGCATCTAACGAACTAAAAAATGTTCAATGGATTCCGATTTCTCCCCACACAGTCTGCACATCTTATTGGCATATGTCCAGTTAAGGCACCCATAATAAGAATGAATGCATCCACTAACTCTCTGCAATATATTTGAAGTTATCACTCCACCTAGTGGGCGGTCCTACACTGTTTTGGCCCGTACAAGGTCTCTACTCTCAAGAACTTGTCTTAGAGTAAAAACACTATACAAAATTGGTGTATATGCACATATCTATTAAACAGCTATCAATTACGTACAGAGCAAACGACATGTTTAGAATATGGATACCATCAAAATGACAATTCTATATTACGACACCAGGTGGCGCCTTATGGAACTTATGGAAATAGTACAAGTATCATATGGTGTTAAGTCTGCCATTTACGCTTTTTAGTTGTATTAAAGGTTAATTAATATATACAACTGTTATTACTTGTACAAATGATTTTATCAAAGGGAGATATTGTACAGTAGTTGTTCACTTGGGTACTTCTGTCCCATTTGTGTTTCTGGCGTGAAGCAGTTGTATTTTTATTTAAATAACAGGGCATGAAGGCATAACACATTAGTCTTCAAAATTGCAACGCATGAGAGGTACCATGGGTTTTTTTCTCTTTTTCCTTAAACTTTGTGTTCTGTTGTTAATTTTTATAAGACAAATTTTTTGCTATTTTAATTTTGCTATTGAAGGTTTAGCTGGTTTTTTTTCTGTCCTTTTTAGTATATATAATTATATAATATAATAAACAATTCAGATCTGTTTCAGTAAAATTGTCAATCACGATTCTTGGTTCCGTTCTCCTTTCCTACTATTTGGAGGGTGGTCTTTGCAAAATTCAAGAAAAACGGTCTTGTTGTGTTAAGAATCAATAGGTATCATGGGTATAACAGTGTATTCTGTCATATCCATGGTACTTTTCATGTCTATAGGCGACCATTACCACTTTTCGTCAGGTGAGTCGTTAGCTTGTTTAACACTTAAACTGTTATAAAAAAAAAATGAATTCTAAATTCATCCATTTACCAACAATATCCGGCATCAGGGGGGAAAGGGATTGTTAGTAATGGAGACTGAGAATCCCATTGCTAGCAATATACCCAACCAGGTCGACCTCCTCGCGGATCTCCCTGGAAACTATCATGGTTAATTCCTGATGAATTCATCATGATGGGCTAACTGGTCTGTTTTCATTCTCATCTATCACCATTCACTGGTGCTCCGCCAGCGTATCCCGTTAGCGCAGGCGGGGTTACCATTCCATTTCCACCCAGCAAAAAAAAAAATATCCGGCATCAACGAACCTACTAAACCGTTACGCCATAAGGTACACAAACCTCTAAATAAGTTACTTTCAACAGAATACTAAATAGGTTCTTTGAATTTAGTTACTTAATACTGATATGTAAATACGTATAGTAATGTTATAAATAGGTATTTACTAAGATGTAACCATAAGAAACGAAGCGTTCCATTTACATACATGTATTGTAAAACCTTTCTCTTTAACAAAGTACCAGTTTTGCAGTAATAAATGGACAGTAGTCGATATACACAGAGAAGGTTTCTGCTAGATTTTGTTTGTACTTCTGTGCTGTTTTTTTTTTTTTATTAGAGGTGAAAATGGAATGGCAACCTCGCCTGCGCTAACAGAATACGCTGGCGGAGCACCAGTAAAGGTTGATAGATGAGAATGAAAACAGGCCAGTTAGCCCATCATGATGAATTCATCAGGAATTAATCATGATAGTTTCCAGGGGCGAACCGCGAGGAGGTCGACCTGGTTGAGTATACCTAATGTTAGCAATGGGCTTCTTAGTATCCTTTACTAATAATCCCTTTCCCCCCACTTCTGTGTTGTTTATATCTTACTAATATAATTAAATTGAATTATATAACGTCCATATATAAAAGATATATATATATATATATATATATATATATATATATATATATATATATATAATATTGTATTGTATCAGCCGATAACTGCCTACTTTTGAACATAGTCCCCCCCATAAGGGGGGTTTTGTTAGTAGTTGTCACGCTCAGCATTTCATATCTTGAAGTAGATTCATAAAAAAATGACGATTTAAAAGTTCTTGTAAACAAGTCGATTGGAATAAAGGTGATTTGTGTTCTAATTTGATGGGACAGAGGTACCCTAACACCTTTTAATGATCCTAATGCGTTACTATGGTTACATTATATAAGTCCGTAAGGAGATTCAATAAGAAGCGTTACTTGGTACGAAATTTATCAATGAGAACTCTCATGGCGCTCTCAGCTAATTATTAGCAGTTAAAATTAACTGTTGTTGATTATTTCTCAGAACAACGCTTCGTATAATTTCCTACATCCTTGGAAACATAAAGGAAATTGTATTTTCGATCGTCGCGATAAACCCAGAAACGGGCGAAATGAAAAGCAAAGGGCATCAAGTTATTGGTATTTAAATATCAAAAGTCAAACAAGTTGTTTATCTAATTGAGATATTTTTTTTTTGCGGAAGTCCGCTAAGAATCAGAGAATATATATTGTTTTGTATTTAATTTAATAAAATTAATATTTGAAGATTTTGTCCCACAAAGAAACAGACAATTCAGTTTTGATAAACCTGTTATTGTGATCTAAAAGCTAAACTACTGAACTGATTTTAATAAAATTTCTATTGGACCAGTCTGTAAGTATTCAAATAAAAAAAGAATTTTCCAAATCGGCTTAAAACTGACGGAGTTATGGGGTAACAAACATAAAATAAGTAATAATCGAATTAAGAACATTTTTCTTTTAAAGTCGATTGAAAATAAGCATTCAATCTACCTCATGGTAACCTTTTTAGAGAATTGAGTACCTCTGTTCTATCATTTTTTCTATTACTTCTGCATCTGCATCTGTGATTCAAAGAATGTATTTTGGTTTGGAATATATGCCAATGGAATTATAAGGGTACCGAAATAAAATTTTTAGTTTTAACTAAAAAGTGAAAATAAATGTTTATAACGA